CCAGCAGGGCTCCTGCCAATGGAGAGCATCCAGTGAGCTACCAGAATGGCCACGCTCCCACTGCTCGTCCCACCCACCGGCCCCAAACCGCTTTGGGAAGGGTGCATGGGGCACCTTGGCCAGGAAAGCCCCTCCCCAAGGAGCTGGGGCGTGGGGACACACGTGCGTCTGCCCCCAGCACAGCCTCGTCACCTGGGAGAGGGTCGGGGCCCCCCAGCAGGCAGAGCCCTGCGACCATGGCCTTGTGGTGCTCGCAGCACAGGTAGCTCTTGTCGATGGCTGCAGGTAGCTCAGCGGGGCTGGGTTTCTTCTTGTCCTTCCTCCGTTTCTTCTGGCCTGAATGACAGGAGGCATCGGCTGGTGAGGCAAGGTGGGAGACAGGGCTGATTTCTGGGGACTAGGCACCCCCAGCCCCTGCCTTATCCACAAGGCAAGCAGCAGAGTGTAAAAACGCTCCCAGAGCTGCTCCAGGCCAAGGCAGTAAGGTCCCAGGACTTTTACCTCACTCTCTGCCACCCCAAAAAGTCACCCTTGGCCCCTGCCCCTTCCCCACCTGCCCCACGTACCTGGGAGAGCCGTGGGGGCCAGGAGCCGAGCCTCCGACTGCACCACGTTCCTGTTGCAGAGGAAGACGAGGCGGCGGAAGTAGCAGGTGCCGTCCCCCTTCACGTCCTCCACGACGTACTCTCCGCTCATGGGGCTGGTGTCACGGTGCCGCACTGTCCGCACCCCGATGTCTCCTCCCACGGACAGGAAGGGTACCTGCAGGGACAACAGGGACTGGCATGAGGAAGGAAAGGCTACAGGAACAGACCCTGGCGTTCCCGCTGTCCTGATCACTGCTAAAGAGCCGGGATGAAGTGGACACAGTGCAGGAGCAGCAGAATACGCTGCAGGGAGCCACAGGGGAGCTGGGGACGGGCGCGTGGGACACCAGCTTCCCTCCCATACATCTGTTGGGGTACAGGGAGCGAACACCCCAAGACTTCTTGCACAAGCTCAGCTTTGGGGAGCCAGGGCAAGAAGGAGGAGACAGAAGGGACAGAAGTTAAAGCCAGGATTTGGAAGGGGCCAGATACTCTCAGGGTTTCAGGATGCCTGGTTTTCTTGGGATGCTGGGTTTTGGAGGGCAAGCACTTTACACTGAATCCTGCCCCCAAGCAAAGGAGGCCAGCTGGAGGGAAAACCGAGAGGAGCTACACCTGAGGCCAGCCTCCTCCCCACCAAGGCAGCCAGCTCACACCTTGCAGCTTGGTCTCCCTTGAAGAAGAGGGATTCGCTGCTGGCAAAGCCAGCCTGGCCCCAGTTTTGGGGAAGCCGAGTGAGGGGGCCGGGCAGTGGGGCTCACCTGCTGCCGGGCAGGGAGGCCCGGCGGGGCCAGCTCCATCACCTTCCCCGACAGCTCCGCCTGGATACCGGCCATGCCCTCGTAGCGCTGCTCCCGGTGCAGGGCCACAGTGACCAGGCGCCCGAAGCCCGCGCTGGCGGCCAGCTGCCTCCGCCCTTCCTCCGTCCCAAAGAGCCACTCGGTTTCTCTGCCCTGTGGGACTGCAGAAGGGGCTGCCATCAGCCTGGGCCAGTCCTGGTCCCCGGGCAACCAACCCGGCCTCTGAGAGAGGAGCTGCGGGGATTGGCAAGACACCATGAGGTACCGCTGCATGCCCAGAGCTGCGTTCTGCAACCATTGAGAGAGCCAGAACTTTCCCTGTTTAGGGCAGGTTCATGCAGGAGGTTAGAAAAGCCACATCTCGTAAGAAGGGGGCATCCAACAGCCTCACGACCCGTCTCCAGGCTGTGCTAAGCCCCAGCTTTGCAGGCACGCAGGGAGGGAACAGTGCTGCTGGCAGAGCCTGACACGTCTCTGCGAGGTGCAAGCGCAAAAGCGAAGAGCAGCCCTGAGCAGCCTGGCCCTGGCAAGTCACACAGACGCCCACACAGACCAGCGATGCCTTTCTGGCTGCGTCCGCTGAGCTCCGGCTTTATGCAGCGACGCGCTACAGTGGCTGTCACCAGCACGAAGGCAGGAATCACCACCTTGGAGGCAGGGCAGGCAGCGTTCCTCTGCTGCCAGATGGGCATCCGCTCAGCCAGCGACCTCTGTGCCTGATCTCTGCTTATACCACCAGGCAAACGCATGTCCCACTGCAAAGCCAGGACTACGCCATCAACCGAACCCTGCCCAGGCAGGCTATTTCCCTCTCCAGCCCCAATTTCAGCAGGGTCAGGACTGCTGACTGTTTTGCACCTCCTGGCCAGAGCACTGTCTCATCGCAGGCAGGAGCGGCTGTACTCACTGATGAAGATGGCGAAGCGATTGTCCCAGGAAGGTTTCACCAAGGGGCTATCGACCACATGCAGCGTGTAGCGAGGCCTCCCGCTCTCTTTGTCACACAGATCCAGGGAAACCTGCTCCGCGCAGGGGGTTTTGCTCAGCTGGCTGCAGAGCAGGGCGTAATGCTGCCTGTCCTTCACCGCTGCCACCAGCCGCTCCGTGCTCTCCACCCGCATCGGCTTGTCCTGCTCCTCGGGGCAGATCTCCAGGATCTGCGGCGCTGAGCCGGGAACCTTCCTGAACTTTGTCATGACGTAGACAAAGACCGGTAGGACAAACTGCTGCTTGTCCCCGCTGCCGGCCACCTGATGGACACGTACGACCCAGCCTTCCCGGGAAAAGTATTCCACTGCTTTCTTCAGTACGTGGGCTTGAGCCAAGGAGACGCAGAGGTAGCGCCCTCCTACCTGCAGGACCCGGCTGATCTCGGCAAACATCTTGTCCACCTTGGCTAGCGTGGCTTCCTCTTCATCGGTGAGGATGGCATCCAGGGTGCCTTTGTCCAGGACCACCTGGAAGTGGGCGTCAGGGAAGTCCATCTGAAGCGCGTCCATCAGCAGGTAGCTCATCTTTGGCCTCTTGCTCCCACTCCGCTCTTGCATCTGACGGATCACTGCGTCGCTGATGTCGATGTTCACGATATCCTCGCACATCCCCACGTCGTACATCTGCTCGCTCAGCTCCGAGTTCCCGCAGCCCACCACCAGAACCTGGGGAGCGGCGTAAGAGCAGCGTGATGGTGAGAACGCCCCGGAAACGCGCCCCAAAACGTTTTACGACCAAATATCAGCCACGAGCCTTCTGCGAAAACCTGCACCCGCACCACCTGCAAACCCACTCTCGGGGGCCCCAAAATAACGTTTCCAT